TTATAACAGTCATACGATGTGCTCACTGAAGGAGCATTTGTTGAACTGTTAAACTTTATCATTCAAAGAGTCACTTTTTTTTTTGTTTTTTTTGTGTCAGCGAGACCTTGGTTCCAAAATACTTCAGAAAATTTGATTTTGTTTTGTTCGTATGTTAAAGGTGCTTTTTACGATTAAATTTAATTTTCTCCTTTATCAATGTTTTTTCCACTTTTGCTCCGTCATTTTATTTCAAAAAAATGGCAGATGGCTGAATTCATCTGTGTTTGCAATCTGCCAATTTTGGAAAAGCTATTTTTGTTTCCACTGTTGTTGCTGGTCGACTGTTTGAAGTTTGAAAAACGTATCTTTTTTATTGAGAAATACAAAAAAATAACACTTTTTTTCCGTCTTCTAATCGTTAATTTTCTAACTGTTTTTTTTTTCGGCAAAAATAAAGATCACGTTGTTTTTGGGAATGAAAAAAATCATCTTTTTTTTTTTTGATACGAAGTAATATGGTGCACGGCCACGATCGCTCAGATATTTTGATAACATATTTTTAAAAGTTTTTAAAAGCTGTACAAAAATATTTTTTTCCTTTCTGCTTTCACTTCCAAAAAAAGGATTTCTGAACAAATAATTCCTTTCATGTTACCAACGGTCTGCTGATTCATCGTTGGATGATTGTCTCAGTAACTTTTTTCTGTTGCTTAAATGGTTAAATTTGAGTTCTTTTTTTTTCTCACTCTGTTTTCTTTCAACTTTACTCATAAAGAAACTTCAGTTTCAATACTGGAGTTCATGTTAACTTAAATCAAACCTAACAAAAAATTGGTTGGTTGGAATTTTTCTGGAAAAACGTTTTAAATATTTTCAAAAAGGTATTATGAAGACTGAAGGCTAAAAACAAAAATAAATGGGCATTTTCTTAGGGTGATGCTTCGACGATAAGTGAGAAAAAATATACAAAGAAACAGAGATCTCATGGTTAACAATTATTTTAAAGTCTGTTAAGCATGGCGCAAATTGTACAGAAGAATTTCTTTTTTCATTCATACTAACAATGGCTGAAATCTTAAAAAAAATGATTTATTGTAGAAATGATTAAACTTATTGTCATTTATTATTTGCTTAGCAGATAAAGTAAAGTAAATGGGAGAAATACTGCTGCCGGCTGTTGCACCGGTAAATGATGACCTAGCATCTTACTAAAATGTTTATCGGTGGGTAAACTGCTCTAGCTTTTTTGACTGTGTCTTATACTTTACAATACATATTAAGTTCTCCTTACATTTAAAAAAAAGCGATGCGTTGGTATATATACGAATTTTTGTACAATATAAGAAAAGGTTTAAGATTAATGCTAATATCTGCAGAAAAAAAGTGAACATTATTAAAACCTTCACTTATATCTTTACACTTATTAGCCATTTTTTCGTAGATAGGAGACACTATCAAACTTTTAATAGAGTAGCTTTAGAACTGAAGTCTTAAGCACTTAGCAATTACTTGATGATCAAGTTTTGCACTCTTGAAAATAATTCAGTCAGAAACTGTTTAGTATTTCTGTTTATGCTAAACTGTGAACTGTTGGTGTCTAGATGATGCTTAAAAACACATTATAAACTTCGCTTTTTGTTCGCTGAATAAGTAGGGGAGACAAAATGATAATGAAGGGACTAGAACAATTTAACGTTCATCATCTGAAACCTGAATTTTCTGCATTAATGATTAACAATTTTTTGATATTTAAAGTATTATCAGAAGGAAGGAGAAAGAAAAAACAGTTATTTCAATTTGCGCTACTCTAAGAAAAGCTAACAATATTTTAAGTA